TCTTGTCTAATTTCTCACCCACGCAGAGCACAGCGATATTAGTGCCTTCGACTCTGGTTCGTAAAAGCTTTCATGGCTTTATTACCAGCTCCCCGAACAGCTTGTCCTTTTAATAAGCCAAGGCCTCCAGATAGCAGATCTGCCCATGGGAGATCCCATCAGGACGTGGTTAATCCAGGCAGAAATAGCACAAAGCATCGTCACACTCACCTGACTGAGGAAGGCAGGAAAAGGTTAAAACCCATCCCAAAAAGCAGGGGGAGAGGGGAGGGAGAGCTGAACCTCCTCTGTGGCGGGTTAACCAGTGCTGCTGGGTGTCCTCACCTTCTCCATCAGCCCTGCTCTCCACAGCCGCTGGCATTGGCGATGGAGGCCTTTAATTATCCAAACTGCTGCCCCTCACAAAATTAAATGCTGCTGAGGATGACTCAGTGTTTAATGGACTGGCTGCTCCTCACGCCGGGAGAGCCAAGCGGGTGCAAGCGAGAGCACGGCACAACACGGCATAAATCACCCGGAGACACCGCTCACGGGGCCCGCTGACCCCGCCGCCTGGAGCAGCCTCTGCTGGCTTTCAGCACTGCTCTTTGCACTCAGGAGAACCCGAGGGAACTCCTGGGAGCAGCAGCTCTGGGTGTTGCAGCTCGACCCTGCACCCAGGCTGGCTGTGACCCTTCCCCAGCTACCCCAACGTGGATGCGCTTGATTTAGAAATCACACGGATTCACCAGGCTGGCTGTGCTGTGTTCTCTGTTCCCAGGATTTAGATGTGGTGGTTTCCTTTGGAAAGGTCTCAGCGATGGTCAGATGTGGTGTGGAAGGCACACAGGTGCCAGAGGATGTGATACAAAGCTTGTCTCTGCCTTTGCTCCACGCTCGGGCCAGCCCAAGCCAGCATGGCAAGAAGCAGCTCTGTTAATAGCCTCGTTAGTCTCACCAAGATGCTGAGGCTTTGGCTTCCAGCAGATAATTAACGATATGCTCATGAATTAGGAAGCCCTGGACCTCCACCAGGATCGCTGTGGAGGCTCGTGGTTCAGAGCTGGAGCAAGGCAGTGCCTCGAGGAGCAGCACAGAGCAAAGGCCATGGCCAGCGGGGACTGGCAGAGGCCTTCTGGGCCCATCTTTAATGCAGGACCAGTTTTTCTCCAGGTACCCGACACCTGGAGCTGGAAAACAGGAAAAATTTCTCCATGGAAAATGTTCTCAAACCCTGGTAAAAGCTGTCCTGGGCAGTGGTGGAGGCACCATGCCTGGAGGGATTTAAAACACATCGATGTGGTGCTTGAGAACAGTGTGGTGGCCTTGGCAGTGCTGGGGCAGCAGTCAGAGGATGATCTTGGAAGTCTTTTCCATTTAAAGGATTCTGTGTGCATGCAAGAGTCCCTAATGCTGCCCCACCCATAAGAAGTCCTACTAAGGCCCCAGGGTGCCTCATTTGAATACAATTTACTGTCGCTAATGATGCTGATGGTTATTTCCCCAAGCTAGGAAGTATTTGGCCCCAAAATGGGCTCCTGGAAGCAATTTCAGACAGCAGTCTGTAATGCTGGAGCTGATGGAAGCAATTTGCAACTCATTAGCAGCGATCAGCTGTGAAGATATTTTACACATCACTCAGTCCAGGTTTGAGGGGGGATGGAATTTTTACCCCCTCTCCTTTGGAATTTTTGTGTAGGATGGGGTGAACACCTGAGCGCTGCCTCTGCAGCCCCAGCAGCTTTGCCACATGCCAATGGTGACTTGTGAATTAAATCCCTTAAATACACAAACTCTGTCCTGGACTGCAGGGCCAGGCGCTCCTAGATGGCTCCAGGAAGGGATACAGCAGTTCCCAGCATCTTCAGCATCCACGGGACAAATTGATTATTATTAATCAATTTGCCTCTGGGCAGCAGCAGATGTAGGTAAAGAAGCAATTTGCAAACCAGGGCTGCCTCCATGGAGGGAGCAAAAGCACAGCACAACCCCAAAAAAGCAAGGGAAAGCATCACTTATCCACCCTTGCCCTGGAGATGCTCTTCCAAGAAGCAGGACGGGAGCTGGTTGATGTAACTGGGGTGTGTGTGTGGAGCAGGGACAAGCCATGCTGGGAAGGTGAGGAGAGAGCCCCAGGCCTTGAGTTATCCCTCGGCCCAAGCTCCCGAGGCGTTCCCAAGACACGTCTGGGATCCTGCCTGCCTGCCAGAGCCTGTGCTGGGAGCCCCAGCTCTGCAGCACCTTCCCTTAATTACTTTTTTCATTCTAATTAGATCTGCGGGCAGGCTGAGGGGAGCCCTGGTGGCTGAATCCGTGCTCTGAGCACCCATATTTAACAGGAGGATTCCACCACAGCCGCTCACACCCCACCAGCCCTCTCTAACCCACCCCTTGAAGCCTTTGTGTCTTGCAGTTATCACCTGGGGCTGTTCCCTCCTCACCCATCCCACAGCCCTCGGCTGGTTCCTGTCTCTCCCAGCAGGAATTAACACAACCCTCACGTGGCTTCCCCAAAAAACAGCACGGAAACGCTCCCAGTCCCCACGCTCCACTCCATTCCAAGGATGCAGCTGCATTCTCCCTGGACGGGGGCCAGCAGTGAGGAAGTTTCCTCTGCCCGCTCTCCTCCTCCCTGGCTCCTCTAGAAAAGGGGTTTGGGGTGTTTGGGGCCCCAACAGCTCACAAGACCCCCACATGAAATGTTCTCCATCCAGAGGAAGCAGCAGAGCCTCTTCCCTGGGGTTTCCTGTGCACTGGAAATGAAGGACTCCCAAGAACGTCCATGTGCTCACCTGCTCCTGCCTGAGACCTCCTCCCTCCCTGGCCAGCCCCGCTGCTGCCGGGGATTTACTGTCAATAAAAGCACTGCAGAGAGCCACTTCTCCTCTGGAAGAAGAGGAGGAGGAGGGGGGAACAACCACTCTGTAAATGTCCTTCTCCCTCATCCCAGCAGCACATCCTTCTGCCCTCAGGATGCTGATGGAGGGACAGCATCGAGCAGGCAGCTGCTGGGCAAGGAGCGATGCAGAACGGAGCAGGAAGGGAAAGGCAGAGCTGGTGCCAACTGGGAATGCTAATGCTGCTCCCCGGCCTCACAGCCACGTCCCCAAGCTCCAGCAGGGCTGTCCCTCAGCCTGGCAAGGGGGGGCACTGGCTCAGGAGGGTCCCTGGCCCCCAGCTCTGTTGCTCCCAGGTGCTCCCGAGCAGGTCCCGCTGTAAAACCCAGGGATCCTGCTGGGGCAGGGGAGAGGATGCTCCAAAAAGGATCAAACCAAGTGTGCCCAAGCCATGGGATTTTGGGCACAGGGTGTGTGTGCCTCACCCTGCTGTATCCCTGAGTGCCCACGCTCCCGTTTGTGGGGTTCAGGTGGGGACACCGAGCTGGGAAGGCACCTCTGGGCAGGGACACAGCCTGTGCCAACCCTGGGGTCTGCCTGTCCCTTTCCAACATCACACTCGCAAAGGACATTGAAGCATCCTTTTCCA